ATGTCAATTTTCCTTTACCAAAGAACTATGAGTCTATGACCCTAGTCATATATTTCTTCTATAAAATATAGGGTGCTTACAATTGAACTATCGATTTATAGATGTTATAATGTTTCAATTGAAATATGATATACTTTTTAGTAGCAACTTATATAATTCTGGCCATGTAGTATTAATACAGTCTAACTCATCAAAACATTTTTTTTTGTATTTCTGGGATGTCTCTCTCTTTTTTAATGTTTCTAGAGAGGAATAATGGGAAGGCTTTAAATGGGAAGATTCTCAAAATTATAGTACAAATTATAAGATACATGAAACTCTACAATAAAGAAATACGTAAAAGAATCAATTCTCCGTACAAACACCCACGTTGTTGACTTGTTTAGTTGTCTGGTCCACAAAGCACCTATTCTGTTAGAACCACAATAAACACGTTAGCAAAGCTAACAAAGTAGTAACAAGTCTCATCTGCACACACTAGTCCAGTTCACTAATCTTATCAGCACAAATAAATTTTCAATTCCATTGTGATGATAATGTTTTCTTTTAAGCACGGCATTTTCAAGTTATGGAGGTTGGAGGGTCAAAGGACAAGAAGCATATGCTAGGGAAGGAAGCATATGTCCTACTTGCTTCAGCTTGATTTTGAAAAAAAAAACAGACTTCTTGTATTAAGCGAGTCTTGACACGGTGACACCTACTAGCTAGCTCCTGGACAGCAAAGATCGCTAATAGATGGGGACTGAGGTCCAAGTGCAATATGCTCATATGCTTAATAGCAATACGCACATGCTTCATACTCGCTGCTTGGACATGCATGATGATCTCTACGGGCTAGGCATGTTGTTTAAGTGTTTTTTTTTGACAAAAATCAACATCTGAAATCTGTAAGATGTGGACCGGACTCATCTGCTTCCCAACTTGATTGGAGGTTCAAATCACAGGATAATAATATGCATATGCATAATGCATGTGATTAGCAAGAAACATGTGTGCTACTCGCTTTGAGAAACCTGTTTGTGAGTAGTTGATGTGGGACTGGACACTGCGGGTGGTGCTGACTTGTGCTCGGTGGTTATCCAGGGGAGCCTGATACGGCCAGTGACAAACTGCTGATGTGTCGCAGGCAGCGCGCATGCATGCGTCAATGCTCAGCCCATCTCTTATTGCCTTCCTCTTTAATCGCCTTGCCAACTCGACTCAACTCAAGTAGCACGACCACACTACTCATTTATTAGTTGCAGATTTCAAGCATATTTTACAGTGCCGAAATCCTGATCCGGTCTGCATGTTTTCTTCTAAAAAGAGAAGCTGCATCGACATACGTATGCATTGTTGAGTACTGTAGACGTATTGAGTGTTCTTCCGGATAATCCGTCGGCGTTCTTTCCCCAATTCCCCTGATAGATAATACTCCTATGTTCAGTAGAAAGTGGTCAAGACTGCTGATTTGCTAGGGCCTAATAAGTTTTCATAGTTGGAGAATATAAGCCATGCCCATCCGTTACCTTTTTTCCCCCTAAAAACTTGAACAATCATGCTAAAAAAAAACTTGAACAAATAAGACAATTTTGATTTAGGACAAATTTAAAGTGACCTATAATTTTGAAACAACCTAATGGAGGAGTGATCGATTAGCTATATCTACGATCCTGTTTGGATCCAAGCAGCTAACAGTTAGTTGCTAATAATTATCTCCTTTAGAGCTAAACGATCCAGCTAATAGTTTAGCTAATTGTTAGTTAACCAAACTAACAATTATCTTACTAGTTAAACCAAACTAGTTAATATCAGTTAATAGTATTAGCTAGCTAATTTTTAGCGGTTAATGGTCCAAACAGGGCGTTAAAACCATACACAACCTTTATTTATCAGGACGCAACTTAGGTCATGTTGGGTATACATGGCTAATTATTAGTTGGGTTAAAAGTTAGCCCAAATTAGCTATGGTTGACTAGCTAGTTGGCTAACAACTAGTTGAAAACTTTGGCCCCGTTCGCTTCGCTGAAAAAATAAGCTGAAACACTGTTCCGGCAGATTTGTTGTGAGAGAAAAACACTGTTCCGGCTGAAAATACAAGCCAAAAAGTACGGATTATAAGACAAGCGAACATGGCCTTTAGCTAAGAAATTAGTCCACATGTTAGCCCTCTTGTTTGATGCACTAGAGCTAATTTAAACTAAAGCTATTAACAATTAGCTCATGATATCAAACAATGCCCTTAGCTTTCCATTCCCGCTTAAAGAAAGGAACAAAGGACGGGACGACGGGTATGGTTAGTTTATTAGTATTTGCCAAATGTATTTTGTCGCGCATATATATGCTACTCCTATGTATGAAAGCATGTGATTAGAATGAGACCGTCCAGCTAACTAATATCGCCATGCGATGATAATTATGGATGGACGGCGACCTCCATCCAATTACATGACCCTGCTGCAGCTTCCACACATGATTCATGTGTAGCACTAGTGTGTACGTAACTGACGAAGTCGACATTACATCTTGCTTGAGGCCTTGAGCTTGACGAGACACGGTACCGTAGGTTGCATGTGTTCCCATGCCGATGGAGAGCTCTAGGAGCCACCACACGGCCAGCTGCGCGCACATCTACGTGCATCAGTGCATTGCGGACGCATGGCCGGAGCCCGGAGCCCGCACCTTTGGCTGTTGACTTGTTGGCCGCGGCCCCGCGCGATCGAATGAGAGGCCACAGGACACAGGCCAGTGCGGTGTTTGGTGATGGGCAGGCAGCGAGAGCAGGCATCATCGTCCACTGGCTCCGTTTCCGACAGGGTTAACAGGCCACTGGGGGCTGGGGCAGCCTGCCGCAGTGCCGCCCAGGGTCCCTCCCGGCTCCAAAAAAGCGGTGGGACTTGCTAGTGCAGTGCAGTCCTCCTGTCCGAGAGAAGGTAGTATCTGGCCTGCTTCTGGGCGTGCCGCCCCCGCCGCGCAACGGCCGGTTGCCATCTAGGGGAGGTCCTCCTAGGACGCTTCAAATGCGGATCATACTCCACTACTACTCCCGTTCAATTCTTCCGAGCTTGCACTCATCCATGGCTTCTTTTCTTACAGATTAAATATAAACAACTGGGGGCATATATTCATTAAAGAAAGAGATTTCTTAAACGACCCTTGGAGATTCCAAGAGGTACCAGAGGTTTGGTGCTCATCTACCGCATTTTTTTTTGAGAATTCATCTACCGCATTTTTGGTGCATGATATATATACACTGAGGTAGTATATCCTATGATACGCCTATGATTTTGCTACTGCTGTAGCTAGTACTACCTCCGTCCAAAAAAAAATCTAGTTATACGAATAAAGTATCTAAAGTTTTTATCAAATATACAGATAAAATATTAATATTTATGACATCAAATAAATATATTATCAAAATAAGTCTCATGAAAAATCTATTATTATCTATTTAGTACGATAAATATTTTTTAAATAAATTTAGTCAAATTCTACATACTTTAACATATATAGCGCTCTTGTAGATTTGCATCTTTTTTTTTTGAGATGGAGGGAGTAACAAGTAATAATCTTGGCACGTCCCAATAAAATCGTCATGGAGTGTAAATTCGTTTTGGTCTTTTTTTTTAAGATAAGGGAAGACCAGTAGATTTCTCAAAACTGAAGCTGTCATAGCCAAGGATATTCATGTATGCTACCGGGACTGCGGCACAGGACAAATGTGCCGCGTTCAAATGAATCAAAAGAAGTTCTGGAACAAAGGTTCAGCAGGCATTCTGAGGCGGCTACCAAAAACGTCCAACTGCTGAGTGCACAACTCATCATACCTCACAGCTCACATGTACTAGACAGCGGGCGCAAGACCGGCTGCCCGAGAAGATGAAAGGCCATTTGCAACTGTACTCCTGTAGTAGAGGGCGCGTCGTCACCGGTGACGCCATTAGGCCATTACTCAACAACAAGCACAGCTCAACACAGCTGCACCGGCCTACTAGTAATTCACTCATGACACGCTCACCGGCACGCGCCGCACGTGCACGCACGAGAAGGCTCCGATCCGCCGCGGCTACCTGTCACTCGATCGGCTCACCTCGAGCAGCACCACTACTTACGAAAGTGCACGAAAGACAAGTCATTTTTTTTCCATGTGAACACTGTACGAACGGACATGATGCCACTGTATCGCTGCAACAAATCTAGCCTCTTGTAACGTTTTTCTTGTGACAAAAGAAGAATTCGTTGTTGATTTACGACGTTTTCTCTAGAAATTGTCGCAACATGTCGTGACCTACATTTTTGCGACGATAAAAGAATTGTCAAAGAAAACGTCGCAAACCAAGAGAATGACATTAAATATTGTCGTAAGCTGGTACATAGAATTGTTTTGATGAATTAGATTTGTCGTAGAGTTCGTTTGTTGTCAACGATAAACTTTCTATTGCCATTGAGATTTATGTTTTCGCATATGATAATTTTCTATTGTCATAAATTCGTTGTACAAAATTTAGTTAATACATATTTGAATTCACTTATAAAAACACCAATCACAATTTGTTTTGGGCCAAGTAAACCTACTTCTGCTGGTTGTGATTGTTATTTAAAAAAAGAGAAAGGGGTAAAAAAGAAGTCACCAAAATAGAGAAAAAGGGGAAAGCAGCATGAATCAAACCGGAGAAAAAAAAAGCCAACCACCCAGCGCGCCACTCTTTTAGGCCCTGCGCGCCACTCTTTCCATGAGCGCGCGTACTCTAGCAAATTTTTTTGGCTTACCCGCTTGTTCCTGTGAAGTCTTTTGAGATAAAATACCAAATATATCCAGTGAATTAAGGAGAATGTAAATATGGTGCATACAGTTCGGAGGACAGTAGAGTAAAATGTTTCACACATAGCACATGTTACCCTGACCGCGTCCTCCTCGTTTCAGCCGCCGCCCCATCTTTCTGCTGCTGCGTCCTCCTCCTCATTCCCTTCCGTCGCCTCTGCTTCCCTGCGCCAAGTCCCTTCCCCGCCGCAAGACCGGCATGGCTCCAGGAAGAGGAAGGAAGCCCTCAGGGACTCGGGTAGGTAATTTCTCTACCATACCCATCTCACCATGGATCTGGATTTGAGGCTGGGGGAGGTGTATAGGCGGGCCCTGCCTGCGCGGCACCCCTGCAGAGGCAGCCGGCTGCCCCTGCGGGAGTGCGGGGCTACGGCTTGCTCCTACCACTGCTGGCGGTGTGGCCTACCGGACAGCCCCTGCCTGGCAGCGTGCAGCAGAAGCGAGCAGGGAGCAGCCAATTCCAGCCTGGGAGGAGGAGCAGCACCCGCAGGGGTGGCCCATGGGGAGGGGGGCTGCCAGCCCACCATGTGGTGACATGGAGCTAATGGGGAGGAGTGGGATTTCAGTTTTTCGGTAGGGGATGAGGTGCATGGAGTTGCTGATAGACAGATTCTAGCTCCTATTCGTGTTCCTGTTCGTCTAGTGCCTCAATGATTGCTGTGCTCATGGAGAGGAGAGTAGACAGAAGGAAGAATATATAGATTGTAGTTGATGCCTGCTGCTTGCTTTTTTAGTGCTTATAGTCGGTAGCATTTTGGTCAATTGCTTCCATCGATTCAGAGGGTTAGAGAATGGAACATTGATTTTGGTCAGATAGGAAAAGAACGGAAAACTGATCAAACGAATTGAATGTCAACTTTTTTTTTCTGCTAGTGAATTGGGTCTGAACTTTTTTCTAATGTCAATGACCTTACAAAACTAACTGAAAAGTCTCATGCTTGCAGAATGGTTGGGATGCATGCCACTTTTTATGTGTGTTCATACTTGCAAATCAGAAGTTTTGTCTCTATGTTTTAGCATTATCGACTTGCAGATCAGTTAAGCTTCTTTAAATGTTTTTGAGGTGTTAGCAGATTTCTCTGAATATTCTATTAAATTCCTAGTTCTATTCTTTGTCCAGGAATGTTTGAACTCCTTCATTTTTGCAGAATGTTGTATCCTGTTGATAGGGTCAACTAAACTAAATGTTGTTTTTTGTCGAGTATGAACTCCCTCATTCACTATGCACGAGTTGATAGTGTCAACTAAACTGAATCGCAGTGTGCTGTCAGTTTGGTCAAGCAATGTAGTACCCATGTCCAGTAGAAAAGAGAGGTGGCGTAGGAGCTACTGAATATCACCACTATGTGTTATATGCATGGGTGCCATGAATGTTGATGCCTACTTTGTCAATTTTTTATACCTGAGACATGATGGTTGGAATCTGTACATACCAAGAAACGTCAGTTGCATCTGTGTATGTCATGGAAAAAAAGATTTCATGCCTTTTCATGTGAAGGTTCAGTGTATCTTATCAGTCTAAACTTGGTGTACATTGCTATTAGTCTGAACTTGGTGTGCATTGCTATCGGTCTGAAAAAAAGAATCTGCACTTCTTTCATGGAAAAGCAAAGCAAAGCTGCATTCTGATTGTCTAAATTTTCAGCCCGTTGATATAGAGAGTCTGTTAAAGCAAAGCTGCATTCCGAGTACTATTTATGTTATGCATCTAAGTGCAGACTTACACTAGACTTGAAATATGCTTATGGTTCGATTTCTCATTTGTTGACAATGGCCCGTTCGCGTGCCCTTAAACCCGGCTTGATCCGCTTATTTTTTCATCCGGAACAATGTTTTTTTCTCATAAATTCCTCCAGCATTCCTTCAAACCATCCAGATTCCTCCAGAATTCAGACAAGTGAACAAGCCCAATATTGGGTCTCTTGGTTTAAGAGAAACAAATGCAGTCATGTTCTGTCCAAATAAAAATAGAGAACAATAACTCTTGGTTTCTGCTGTTTGCAGGAGGATGGGTTATTTTTGAGCCTTTGAAAATTGTTTATGTAGTTGAATTTGTACAGACGTACTGATATGTAATAGCCTTTAAATAGATGAATGATTAGGTAGCTAGGTTAACTAAATTCTCCTTTGGGTTTATATTTGTTGGATGTTTAATCTTGCAAAACTTCTCATGTAAGAACATCTTTTTGTGCATGCAGCAAGTCATCCTTGTTATACAACTTGCAGTGTTTAATATGAAAAGTTAATGAAACATGCAACATTTATGTAGGCTCTTGGGTTTTACAGAGGCATATAATCTCATTAAATTCCAACCTTCTAACTATTCTCAAATGATTTTTACAGAGGCGTCTATTACTGAATATGAGCATTCAAGGAATGAAGAAATAATGAAAAACAACCGAGAGCTAGAGAGGCTTGGTATCAAGATATTAGTGCCCATAGTGAACAATACATCTGTGAAGAGAAAGGGTGAAGACCATAAAGTTTCTAGATTGTTGTATACAGGTCAGGAGAGTGGTCAGGGGAGTGAGGACTGTGAAGATGAGGAGTTAATTAGCAAGGTACCAAGTCTTCTAAGCATATGTTTGTTTGTCCTTTATTGTTTCTTATTATGTGTCAGTATGCTATTTAGCAAATTTGGTGCCAATTCTGCTTGTTTTTTTTTTGCCTAATGAGACTTTGCAGGTTGCTAATGTTGCACATACAAAGAATCCAACAAGGTCTGGGAACACCTCTGTTAGAGGAACAAAAGCATCTAAGAGAGTGGTTGCACCTCAGGAACAAGATGTGCCTAACAGAGTCACTAGGCAGAAAACAAGGGATCTAGCCTTGGTTTCAAGTCCAGACCCACAACAAGTGATCAACTTAGGCCTGCCAAATACCACACCCACACATGATGTGTTGGTTTCTGGTAGTGATCCCTCCCTGCAACAGGACTTGGTTGACATTACAGATGAAGGCAAGTGACTGTATCTATCTTGTGCAAACAAATCACTTTTCGTTATTTGCAAATTGCAATGCTAAATATGTATATGTCATTGTCATAAATTTACTGCCTTCTAAATTCAGTCGTCTTCTAAATAGTTTTTCTTTATTCTCATCTATTTATATCCATAACCGACATACAAGCAGCTCTTAACAGTTTGCATTTTAGCCTTAGATACTACAAATACTCATTTTGAGATAGCTTAAAATGAATTAAAGAAACAACACAGTTTTAAGCAGCCAATCTAATTTGGAAAGGTGCTTGAAAAACCAGCAAAATCGAGAGAAAGTACAGTTGCTGCATTGTATAGGATCTCGGTGTTACATTGCACAAGCCCATGTCGTGGTAAGAAACTAAACAATCAATGATTAGTAATGGATACAACAACAACAACAACATAGCCTTTCAGTCCTAAGTAAGTTGGGGTAGGCTAATATATATTGATTTTTGTATCAGCCTAATTGTTTGTAATTCTTTGCAAATAATTTAGAGACGAGAAATACAAAGATGTAGAACCTACTGCGTTTGATCTTTTCAAGGACTTCCACTGCAGCAAGAACAAAGGATTCAATGAGCCTATCAAGAAAGCTATTGTGAGTGAGATTTCCTTTTCTTCTCTGCTACATGTACATATGAAAAAATAGCTTTGTGTGACATGTGTATAAAACGGTTGATACTTCATACACAGTTCTATTTAGATGTGCAGCATGTTACATAGTAGTTATGTTCTGTTCCCATAGTTTTGCGTACATGTTGCAGATTGTTTCCTTCTTTGCTATAGGGCGTGCAGCTAAAAAAAATAAACTACACACAAGATTTAAGTCTCTATTGTAATGTTTTTTACTAGGTTGATATGGAAACGATCATGGCTGAACTAGTACAAGATGAAGAGCAACCAAAGTCAGTGAACCATGTTGTTTCTCAAGTTGTGAAATCAACTACATTTCTTCAAGTTGCAGGAATTCAACCAAACTCCAACAATAGCTCTAAAGGTGGCACTTCCTCAAAGGTACAAGTGCATCAAGTCCCTACCATGCATGCTCTAAAGTTATTTTTTGTACAGATTTCTGCTTCATCAAGACATAGACCAGATTTGTGCCTCCTCAATATATATACCTAGTTGTGATTTAGGAATAAATACCTAGTTGTTCAGTTTGATTCTAGTACCTAGCTGTCCTTCTCTTGCACATGAATTGTTTTCTCTTAGTTGGGCATTTGCATTTGACTTAGGAATAAATACCTAGTTGTTCAGTTTAAATCAACTTGTACCTAGTTGTCCTGCACATGAAATAGTAAACTCAATTTGAACCTACTTATACTTAGCTGTTCAGCTTGCACATAATAATGTCCGATAAACAAATATTTTGCCTTGCTGCCTTGAGTGGTTATTGCTTCTAAGAGATTAATAGATGATTTATTTCGTAGTAAAGACACCAACATATTTATGGTATTTATGCACAGGTGCAACAGCTTCAGGCTGAGCTTGAAATTGAAAAAAAAATCAAAAGAAGACCTTAGGCATGAGTTCGAAGCCATGAAGAAAGAATCAGAAATGGCAATGGAGACTTTAAAGAAAGAGTCAGAAATGGCAAGGGCAAAACAGGCTGAAGAGATCAAAAATATAAAAAATGTATCACAAGAAACCATGTCCTTCGTCAAATGCTTGGTCCTAGGGATGGTTGAACTTGGTTTGGTTGTTGGTTGTTTACACCTAGTATTAGTAGCTCTAACTTTTGAACCATGCTGCTCGATGCATTGTTTTGCGACATTTGAGAAGTATTGTGCGGCCTATAAACTTTGGAACTTGTGGCTGCTATAATTTTGGTCAAACATCATATGATATGTGAGATGTATTGTGGTCCGTGAACAAAACTAGTATTGTGGCCTGCTATTGTTGTCACTGGATATGTTCACTGAAACATGTATTGTGGCCTGCTGCTGTAACTTTGGTGGGTGAGTTTGAACTTTAATTAATTGCTGAATGATATGATCAATTTTATGTATTTGCTTGTATCGATCAGTGTATTATGTGTTTGCTTGTGTTGATATGATCAGTTCTTTTTGGTCTTTGGGAACAACCTATGTTGATGAGCCTATAGGCCTTTTAATGAATTATGACAATAAAATTCGTCGCAATATCTTGCTATGTGGCATCATGGCACTTGATAAAGGGCGTACCCAGTGCAGAGAGCTCTCTGTGCGGGGTCTGGGGAAGGGTGTAAGTGGCAAGTTTTACCCTCGCCTGTGCAATACGAGAAAACCACAACTTGAACCCGGGACCTTCCGGTCACAGGCGGTAAGACTCTACCGCTTGCACCAGGCCCGCCCTTCATCATGGCACTTGATAGTTAGCGACAATTCTTCCTAAAGCAACGACAATACGCAAGTGTTGCAAATTTTGTGACAAAGCAGTATCGTCAAAAATTTAGAGACGAAAAAACTTGTTTTCGTCACCAAAGGTGGTTAGACATGTCAGATAGGTGACAAATGGGAATTCGTCGCACTCACATCGCAAAATCCATAACTTGACATAAATTTAGCCTTCAACGACAAAAGCCGATTGTCGCAGAAGGTCAAGTGTGTTGTAGTGTATTTCTCTACACCTATCATACGTTTTCTGATACACTTTTTTTTCCGAGAACTTGACGGATACAACCAAAAAAAAACATTGAAACGACAGGATGGACACACTTTGTGACTCCGGTCCCGCTAGCGAACCCTAACTACCTCAGACGTTTTTTGAGGACAACTACCTTCAGACTTGCCAAAGAGAGAGCAAAAGGTTGCATGGTAACAGTTGTGCATGTAACTAAACAGCCGGTCTCACAGGCCAACTCTATCTACACTGAATGATCACCATCTCCTGGTGGGAGCCCGCCGGGCGGCGAAGAAGCGGTGGTCGGGGTGGTCCGCGCGCAGGAGCCTGAGCCAGGCGTCGGCGGCCTGCGCGAGGGACGCGGCCATCTGCCGGTCGCGCCAGCCCGGAGTCCACGCCGCGGCCTTCACCTTGTACGACGCCATCGCGAACGTCGGGAGCCACATCGCCGTCACGGGCGCACTGCGTGTGGTGGCGGTCGCCGCCGTCGGTTTGGGGCTGCTGTTGCCCGCACCTGCGAACTGCGTGGACAGGGAGTGGTAGGTGAGGAAGCAGGCGTCCAGGTCGCGCAGCGTCGGCCCCGTCAGGATCCGGTAGATCGGGTACCTGAAATGACGCGCGCAATGCAAGCTGCCGTCAGCAGCAGATCGGTTTCTGAATTCTGAGCAACCATTCTACATCAATAACTTGAACAAGAAGCCATGGGGCAAGTATCTGATTAGTACAGAGTGATCTAGTACCGCCATACCATGCAACGGAGATCCAGCTCGCCGGCGACAGATCGCAGCTCCTGAGAGTCTTGAGCTCCGGAGACCGCTGGGCGAGGCTACAAATCTGCACCGAGCATGTAAACCCACTTCGTCAGACAGACATTCGGACAAGCAGAAGTGACTACTGAGCCTGGTGTGTGAGTGATGGACGAGGTGAGTCTCTGTCAGAAGACGTGCCTTATCAGCCAGCGGCTCACGTTGGTAGGGGGGCTCGGATTCCAGGAACTCGAAGAGGAGCCGCTCCTGGCACCAGCTTCCTGGTTCGCCTTCGTCGCTGGAAGCTTCGCTGCCGCTGCTGGTGCTGCTCTCGCTCGCCTCCTGGGCGGAGAACGTGTTCGTGCTGGAGCTCGTCTCGCGCTCCACGTCGCTGTCGCTCTCCTGTGCACCCGTCCTGCGTTGGCGTTGCACATCAATTTCAGCAACAACAGCAGGGTTAGTTGCCAACCATGATTCCGTGACCCCAAAAAGGCACATCGTCGTACAGCTGTGTCATGTTCTACGGGTGTCGTAGGTTTTGGTAAGTGTGTATGTGTACGTGTCAGAGAAGTTTCGTGAGCATACTGACACATTCAGAAGAAATAAAATGAATGAACCTCTAAGTTTGAGCAGTCCAAAATTGTTTCTGAAGACAGCTCAACTTTACTGCTAAAACGAGGAATCAATGAATCACAACATAGTCTTTGCATCTAGTGAAGCTTCTAAAATTAGCTAACGCGTGTACTTTGATTGTAACCTCTAGGTCAACGTTCACTATTTTACTCGCTAGGTAGATGAGCCTTCAAGACTGGTTTGTCTTTGTGCTCCCTTTTCTTGAAACATTGGTGACTTAATAAGCAGATAAACTGCATGTACGTGTTTCATTTAGGGAGGAACGGCATGTTCTCTGAATCAGCGTGCTGGCAAATCTACGTGTTGCCCATGAGCGACTTTTCAGTAACTTTAATCTAGATTTTGACTTAACGCACTGTTCAGCACTTTCAGCCTATTGAATTGACTCTAAATTTATTATAAGAATCAGAATAACTCTACCAATTGAGCACTTCAGACTATTGAATTGACTCTGAACTTGTTGTAAGAAATAATTCTACCAATTGCTTCAGCTTCCAGCTTACTTCTTGTTGTCCAGAACATGTTTGTAACGAGAGGTTTGTGATGTGTGCAAAATCAAAATGTGGTGATCTTAACAAGAATAATTGTGTATTACCTCAAAGGGCCGATGTGCCTCCTGAATCCTCCATAAAGCTGGATTGCAGATAAGTAAGGGACGTAGTACTGAACAACGCCATCACTGCAACTGTTCAGAACAAGGGGTACAGCAATGCCGTACGCGCTGCACTCCTTGAATGAATCCCAGAGGTCGCTCAGAGTGAAGAATGGCAACGAGTCATCTACATCTGATTGCCCCCAACCATTCACGGAATCCTGTAATCAGGGCCAAACTTCAATCGCGTGCTCCAGAATCCCAATCCAAATACAATATAACAAAAGAAGTCCAAATACAATATAACAAAAGAAGCAGGCAAATAACTTCTGAAATGACACCAACAGCCTGAATGGCACCTCTGAGATTCAGAACAGAGGCTGGGAAAGAACCTCTCTCTGTTCAGAAGGTGTGATTCAGAGTTTCAGACTGTGCATGCCAATTCAGAGAACAAGGAATGTAGTTTTCAACTACTGAAACTGAAAGTATGAGCTAAATTTCCTAAAAGCTTATTATATTTCCGTGAGTTATAGAAAAGACTACCAATGCTCTGTTTTGTGATTCTATTGCTACATTTCCCTGCTTTTGTGAAAAGAAAAAATATTTCTGCGATCTTTTCAACTAGAAAGCAAAGAAGGCTATTACTATCTCACACATGAAGCATGAAGGCATATCGATCTCAAGAACATACTGGTTGAATCAACAAAGCCAGACAAAAATGAAAACCGTATCTGCCATTACCTTGGAGGAGCAGCTGGACGCAACCACGGGCGTGGTGGCCTCGAGGAACCGCTCCAGGTTGCACCGTCTCGCCGGAGCATCGCCGGCGGCGAACCTTCGGCCAGAACCTGCCGCCATCTCCCGATCTCTTCCTTCCGCTCGCGCTTGGAAATCGAGGTTCGCATGGGATCTCTCCTTCTCCTCGTGGTGGTGGATGTTAGATGTTTACAGGGTGGTTTCAGAGCAGTTCAATGACGAGTTGACACAGCTAATCTTTGCTATTAATATGGCCAGTGGCTTCCAAAAGTGGCGCGCCTGCGCTGGCGCCTGATGAGCGAGAAAAAAATTCAACCTGCCCGAGCGCGCGGAATGGCGGCGCGTGTCGAGGCGGGAGGATACGTGGACGGCGCGGATGAGGCTGGCAGCGCGGGAGGGGTTGGAATTGGACCGGCCTGAATCTGGGCGGTGGAGCAGACCATGGTGTGGCCCGTGGGCTTAGTTTATGCGCAACGTAACAACGGGCCCACTCGTCAGCTCTCAGCACCTTTGTCACCACCCACGCCTCGGTTGTGTGGTCAAAGAATAGAACATTTACTTTGGATTTTTGGATTTAGGTGTTTGATAACCAACATAACTTAATTAGATTAATAAATTTATAAGTAATTGTTTTGTAGTTTAATATGGTGCAAGACGTGACTTGGACGAAGGCGACATGATGATCTCACGATTAACACCATAAGCAAGACCCTAGAAGCACAAGAGAAGACCCAAGATATCAAGCAAAGTCAAAGCACGAAGATAGAAACCAAGCCGGACGTAAGATCACGAACAAACGAGCTTCACAGAGGTGATCGGACGCGGTCCTTATAGCGACCGGACGCGTTAGATCAAGATGCTCGGCAACGGCAGACGTCAGCAGCAGCGACCAGACGCTGGCGGATAATCGACTCGACGCAGGAACTGCAGCGTCCGATCGAGTCCAGAGAGGTTCCAGAGCGGCGACAGCGCGACCGGACGCGTCCGATCAACAGTGACCGGACTCGGCAGTGCGTCCGATCAACGCGCGCGCTCCAACGGTCGGAACGACCGGACGCGTCCGGTCAGGACGACAACAGCGTCCAGTCAGTAGCAGAAAGCTGGTTTCGTCCCCAACGGCTACTTTCTCGGTAGGGCTTATAAATAGACTCTCCCAACCGGCCATTTGAGATGTGGAGAAGTGAGGAAACATACCAAGGGTGTTGATACACCATTTTAGTGGTCTTCACTTGCATAGTACTTAGTGATTCATTAGGTGATTAGCGTAAGTGCTTTGCGAAGTATTTAGGTTGATTAGACCACCGCTTATGCGCTTGCTCTAGGTTTAGGCCTAGTGTTTAGTGAGGTTTGCATACATCTTACCACTTGGTGCTTGCGCGCACCATTGTTGTACATCGGAGGGGCTTATAGTCTTGCGAGATCACACCAACCGCGTTGTGGTGTGGCCGCCACCGTGTACCGTAGGGAACAAGGCCCGCGGCGTTTCGGCCGGAAGCTTGATAGTGAAGACGGCGGAGAGCGGTCCGGGAGAGGCTTTGCCACGAGTGGCTTAACCGGAGACCCGCTTGCGCGTGGGGAAGACCCGGAGCTATCCACGGAGTTACCCGATCGGGAGCTTGGCCCTTGCGAGGGATTCCTTGCGATGGGCTCCAACGAGGACTAGGGGAAGCTTGTGCGCTTCTCGGTACCTCGGTAAAAATACCGGAGTCATCGACGGGAGTTTGCATATCTCTACCTTACTCTTTAGCTTCCGTATTTACATTGTTTGCATAACTCCTTTTGCGGTAGAGATAGCAACACACTAGCAAAACCGTAGTTGCACATTTAGATAGTTTAGCTTTTTGCATAGGTTTAGTTAAGGATAGAAAAAGATGCCATAGTTTAGAGTTAGGGTTTTAAATTGCCTAATTCACCCCCCCCTCTTAGGTGTCACGGTCCCCTTTCAATTTGTATTAGAGCCGGTTGGCTCAATTTGGACCTTTGACTTCACCGCCGTTGAGCCGGCGCTATTTAGAATGGTTGGGATGGATACCTCTAGACCTCCGCACTTTGACGACACTAACTTCTCTTACTATAAAGCTAGAATGACTTGTCACCTTGAGACGGTAGATTTGGGTGTTTGGATAGTCACTCATGATGGGATGAAACCCATCAAGAATCCCGATAAACTCACACAGAGTAAAAAAAGAAATTCATTTCAATGCTAGAGCTAAAAATTGCTTGTTTGAATCTTTTAGTATGGATGTGTTTAACCAAGTGTTCACTTTAAATACGGCACATGAAATTTGGTTAAAACTCCAAGAGCTCCATGACGGCACAACTAATGTACGTGAGCAAAAATATTATCTAGCGAAACAAAATTATAATTCCTTTAAAATAAATGATGATGAGCTTGTTCGTGATATGTATTCTCGTTTGAATCTAATTATCAATGAGCTCCATTCAATATGATTAATGAAGCTAGATGATGCGGACATTGTGAGGAGGATCATCTCCGTGCTACCACAAAAGAAATATGCAAGCATCATCACCATCCTTCACAACATGGAAAACTTGAGCACCATGACCCCGCCAATAGTCATAGGTAAGATAGTGGCATTTGAAATGTCACGAAAGATAGGTCAAGAAGAAGCCTCATCATCAAGCAAAGACAAAGCTCTCGCATGTAGTCAGAAAAAGAAGATAAATGACAAGCAAGCTGAGACAAGTTCAAGCTCCTCAAGTGAAGAAGAAGAAGATGAGTGTAAGGAAAATGGACCCTTGGCCCATTTACTTTGGATTTTGGTGTTTGATGACCAACATAACCAAATTAGACTAATGAATTTGCAAGTGTTTGTTTTGTAGTCCAATAGGGTGCAAGACGTGACTTGGACGAAGGCGACGTGATGATCCGATGATCAACACCTCAAGCAAGACCTTAGAAGCACAAGAAAAGACCCAAGATGTCAAGCAAAGTCCAAGCATGAAGATAGGAACCAAGCGGCGCAAGATCGCAAAGAAACGAGCTCATAGAGGCGATCGGACGCCGGACCGGACGCTGAAGCGCGACCGACGCTGGACCGGTGGTTTCGGCGGCAGACAAAGCGACCGGACGCAAGGACCGGACGCTGGCAAGAACCGACCGGACGCAGGAACGCAGCGTCCGATCGAATCTGAAGAGGTTCCAGCGCGCTGAATCGCGATCGGACGCGTCCGGTGAGAAGCGCGACGACGTTGGCAGCGTCCGATCGGTAGTTCGCAGCGGCTAACGGTCGGGACGACGGACGACGACGCGTCGGTCAGACGATTCAGCGTCCGGTCGAGAGCGTAATTGCGGGAGTTCGACCCCAACGGCTACTTTCTCGATGGGGCTTATAAATACAACCCCAACCGGCCATTTGAGAACAAAGTGGAGCCGAGGAAACATATCAAGAGTGTTGATACACCATTTGAGTGATCTCCACATGCATAGTGCTTAGTGTTTTATTAGGTGATTAGCATAAGTGCTTTGCGCGGTGTTTAGGTTGATTAGACCATCGCTATGCGCTTGCTCTAGGTGTTTGCCTAGTGTTTAAGTGAGGTTTGCATACCTCTTGCCACCCGTGCTTGTGAGCACAAGTGTTGTACATCGGAGGGGCTTGAAGTCTTGCGAGATCACACCAACCGCGTTTGTGGTGTGGCCGCCACCGTGTACCGGAGGGAACAAGGCCCGCGGCGTTTCGGCCGAAAGCTTGATAGTGAAGACGGCGGGGAGCATCCGGGAGAGGCTTGCCGGAAGGCACATCGGAGACCCACTTGGCGTGGGGAAGGCCCGAGGCTATCCACGGAGTTACCCGACCGGGAGCTTGGCCCTTGCGAGGGATTCTCTTGCGAGGGCTCCAACGAGGACTAGGGGAAGCTTATGCGCTTCTCGATACCTCGGTAAAAATACCGGAGTCGTCGACGGGAGTTTGCATATCTCTACCTTGCTCTTTAAGCTTCCGCATTTACATTGATCATATTATTATCATTTGCGGTAGAGATAGCAACACACTAGCAAAACCGTAGTTGCACATCTAGATAGATTATCTTTTGCATAGGTTTTGCTAAGAAGTAGAAAAAGAGGCCATAGTTTAGAGTTAGTTTTTAAGTTGCCTAATTCACCCCCCCCCCTCTTAGGCGTCCACGTATCCTTCAAGTGGTATCAGAGCCGGTTGGCTCATATTTGGACCTTTGGCTTAACCGTCGTTGAGCCGACGCTTGTAGAGTGGTTGGGATGGATACCGCTAGGCCTCCACAATTTGACGGCTCTAACTTCCCATACTATAAAGCTAGAATGGCTTGCCACCTTGAGGCGGTTGATTTGGGGGTATGGAGAGTCACTCGTGACGGGATGAAACCCATCAAAAATCCCGAAAAACCCACAAAGAGTGATGAAAAAGAAATGCATTTTAATGCTAGAGCTAAGAATTGCTTGTTTGAATCATTTAGCATGGATGTGTTTAACCAAGTGTTCACCTTAAATACGGCACATGAAATTTGGTTAAAACTTCAAGAGCTCCATGACGGTACAAGTAATGTCCGTGAGCAAAAACATTGTCTAGCTAAGCAAAATTATGATTCCTTTGCTATGAATGATGATGAGCTTGTTCGTGATATGTATTCTCGATTGAATCTAATTATCAATGAGCTCCATTCAATAGGATTATTAAAGCTAGATGATGCGGACATCGTGAGGAAGATCATCTCCGTTCTACCACAAAAGAAATATGCAAGCATCATCACCATCCTTCACAACATGGAGAACTTGAGCACCATGACCCCGGGCATTGTCATTGGCAAGCTAGTGGCATTTGAAATGTCACGTAAGATGGGTCAAGGAGAAGCATCTTCATCAAGCAAAGGCAAAGCTCTCGCTTGTAGCGAAAAGAAAAAGATGAAGGGCAAGAAAGTTGAGTCAAGCTCAAGCTCAAGCTCCTCAAGTGAAGAAGAAGAAGATGAGGATGATGATGATGATGAACAAGAATCAAGTGATGATGATCAATCTTCCTCCTCCACCTCCGACCTTGATGAAGAATCAATCAAATTAATCAACAAGGTGGAGAAGATGATCCAAAGGCTCAATGTCAAGGGTGTGCCCATCC